TGTCTTTTGTTAATATATTAGCCCATATATGCCCTTATCGTCACATAGTTGGTCCATATATGTCCTTTTTGAAACGGAATCCACAAACTGATAAGCTATTTCGTTAATTGTACTAAAACGTATTACAAACATTATTTCCTTTTTATTAGTACTTTTTTTTCTTTACCTTTCTCATTTCTTTCTTCTTTTTTTCTTTTCTTCTCTTTTTTTTCCTTTTTCTTTCTCCTATATCCGAGTTCCTCCATTGCTGATACCTTTTCCATTTTCGTCACCAATTTAACTTGACAAACCCCACAGATTCTACTGACATGAAGGAGATGAAAATTATCGGATTTTTTTTTTCGGTGGTGTTAATTGGGTGAAAGTAGGATATGGTTATTCAGAATTTGAAGGTCTTGTTCCTTTCAGATCTGAAGCTCCACGGTGAACAACACCTTCAAAATCTGAATACCATATCCTACCTTCACCAAATTAACACCATCGAAAAAAAATTTCCCACAATTTTTATCTCCTTCTTTTCAAAAGAACCAGAGCCTTCTCGCTTAGAAGGTTTTGACGGCGTAGGTTTGATTTTTAGGAATAAAATCACGTGAAATTGGTGACGAAAATGGAGAACGCATCGGCAATGGAGAAAACCGAATATGAGAGAAAGAAAAAGGAAAAAGAAAAAAGAGAAGAAAAGAAAAAAGAAGAAAGAAAGGTAGAGAAAAGTACTAATAAAAAGGTGATAGTGTTTGTAATACACTTTAATACAATTAAAGAAAGAGTTAATTAGTTTGGGTGGATTCCATTTCGAAAAGGGTATATATGGACCAACTATGTGACGGTAAGGGCATATATGGACCAATTATATGACGGGTAAGAGTATATATGGGTTAAAGTATTAATGAAGGATAAATGTTCTCAATTTTAATATAGTACAAGGGCATATTTAGATATTTTCCCGAAAAGAATGATCTTTTTTTAAATTTGGAAACAATTTAACTTAAACTTCCAATTCTACCCTTAATGAGAAGCTTTTATAACTACACAAATACTCTGGAATATTTTACACCACAAGTTTCAAAAGAATTATAGTCAATACAAATATTCTAACTCATTTCATTCCAAAAGTCTTCATTTTTTTCTTAAACTCAGTGCCTAGTCAAATAGGTTCACATAAATTGGAACGAACGGAGTAGTAATAATCAATGATGGTAACTCTTTCCTTTCTTATTTTTTTCTCTTTTCATGGCAAACACACCCATGTCGGGTGTTGTCTCATGATACCACATTGTGGTCCTTCTTTTCTTTTTATTCTCAGTTTCGGCCTAAAACACTTTTGTATGCATATTTGACAGCATTTGAGGCTCGTCCCGCAGATAAACAAGAGCTGAATTTAAAACATCAAACTTATAGAAAACGGATGCATGGCTGTAGATGCAGGTCAGTATTTGTCATAATTTTCTAGCTTGATCAGTGTGGTGGCCCTTCTGGTGAAGAGACAAAAACGTCTCGTTAATACACACATTTCGAAGATATATAAGTTCAGAAACTTTTAGTTATGCAATTTAGTTTTCTGCTACTTATATAGGGACATTAAAAGTAGATTTTATGGACTATAACCTATACAAAACTTTTTTGGTGCCATCGATGTATAATTACACATGAAATGTGAATTGGAGAATAATTTATAAAGAGGACAGTGATATTGGCCGACCTTAAAGTTGAAATACTTATTCACTTGAACAAAGGAAGGGATATAACTCTTGCTTGTATTTTTCCTTTTAGTATATATTTAAGGATGATACATTCTTATATTTAGAACAATATAACTTTTTATTTCTTTTTTTTTTAAAAAAGAATGGGGAGTCTGTCAGACCGCTATGAGACCATCCCAGGCCTGCAAGCGGAGCTGAGAACGATCCTCTGCTGCTCTAAGGCCACTAGTGACCATAGAGGCTGTTAATCACGCTCTAGCCTCATAGCCATGCCTCATCAACCAGACTTGGTTTTTCTGTCTCCTTAGAACTCAAGGAAACAGTGGTACGAGCCTATAGAACAGATCCTGTTCAAGTAAGGTCTACACTTCATGTTTTTACTTTTAGTGTCATGAATTTAGTCACTGATTAATACCATAAGTTTTACAAACAAATTTATAGTACAGATATGCAAGAAAGTCGGAAGAATTTCTAACGAAAAAGAAAAAACAAATATTGTTGGTTGTCAATAATTATACTCATCAAACCTTCCTCTTAATTAACACTCCTCTCGTCTTGTTTGAAGAAGACTTTTGTTATATGTGCCAAATATATGTCAAGTACAAAAACTATAAGTCGTGGTAGGATTCTTGAAATGTTTTTTCATTATCTCTACGATGATAGGCTATAACTGTGTATTTTAGTCGCTTATTGTATTCTAATTTACTGTACTTTAATTGAGTTTGAGCTTCAATGTTTTGTACTAATTGTGTGCTTTATACCTTGTAGAAGTGATTCCGAGCTATGTACATGTTATATATGGAACGAATTGGAGCTATTTGGAGCTTTGAAGTCTGAGTAAAAGCTCAAGGGATTAAGCTGGGATCGCGTTCGGGAGTCGAGAACCACATCCGCATATCAAAACGCAAGGAAAAAGATTCACTCTGAGAAATCACCACAGCCGCGACGCGTGGCGCGCCGCGGCTGTACAAATCTGCTGTATTTCAAATTTGCGTGCTCTGTGAAGATCTCCACTGCTGCCCCGCGTGGCGCGTCGCCCCATGCGGCGCGCCAGCGTATTTTTGACAGAGTAACAATCCTATTTCGCGTAGGAGAAGGTGGTTTCGTGTGGGCCCAACCTTACTTGGTATAAATACATGTAAAAATATTATTTTGAGGGGGAGGACAGACTTTTGGGACGTGCTTTTGACCTTGGGAGAGCACACACCACGCTTGAAGGAAGATTCTAACTAGTTTTTCTTCTCTTCTCTTCCTTTACTTTCATAGTTTATTAGTTCAAGAGTTTTCGGTGCTGCATGAACATTGTAGTTTGAAACTTGAATTGTTCTTATTATTTTATCATATTGGTTTATTTATTCAATCTTGCGCTTAATTATTTGATTGCTTGATCACCAATTGATTACTAGCTACGAATCTGGGATTGAACTCGGGAGAGGGAATTTTAGTTTGCATATAAGATTTAGTAGAGCGAGATCTTGAACTCGAGCACCGGGAACGGATTTGCGGTTAGGATAGGAATATACCTAATCGCCTTGCTGTTTTTTTTATTATTCCTAGCCAGAGAAATTAAACTAATCTCGAGATCCAGAAACCTATCTATACGCCTAGCCTTAAGCAAAAGAAATCTCGTTAGCCCTACCATAGAAACTATTACCTCGACTTGGATTGCAAAGGGCGAGTTCTTTTCTTGTCATGCCCAAAAACTTTCTTTATTCTCATTGGAGAAAGACTCTCCCGCGGCAAGGTTTTACACATAGGGCCAGCTGCTTTCTTTATCTCGCTTGCCCTTAGTCCGTCTAGCGCCTTTCGGTTGGGTTCCGCCCTGGGGGTTAGGTTAGACCGCTTGGGTTTTTTTTTCTAGTATCGAAGGCAGTCAACGTGTCAGCCATTCTTCCCCCATTAGACTTGTCAATCTTTTGCTCTTTTTCTTTCGGTCCGAAGCCGATAGGAAGTGAAAGTCGCTGAGGTAAGTTCCCCGCATGATTTGGCCCATCTTTCTTTCCTCCATGAGAAAACACTGCTCAGTGAGACAATGTAGTCAAGTTAATAGCAGCCAGAGCAAAAGATTGATATATAATGACAGTTCACCTTCTTGTGCCAACATCTCCATACTAAATAGATTTGGAAATTCTGCCCCTTATTAGTAGCCGAAGTAAAGGTCAGCATGAGATCAAAGTCACTTGCCGTCCGTTGGTTACTATACAGGAATTATAAATGTGTTCTTGTTAATCCTAATCCCATAGGAATATAAGCGTTAGGTTAGCTTGAATAGGCGAGTAGTACTTCGGGAGAAGGCTACGAGTAACATTAACCATGTCAATCAATAAACCAAATAAATTAATTAGAAAATTTAAGTGGAAGACTCAATGGGATTGGCCATAGCTCTAGAAAATCGACTCCCATTAAATTCGTGTCTAACATCGCCAATTTGTTTCCTTTGTTTCTTAGTTTACTACTCTAGAGTAGCCTTAGTTAAATATTCATACTTTAGAAAATCGCTTAGATGGATTACTTGTCTTAGTTTAATTTAGTAAATAGTTAATAACAAGTCTATATAGATATGATATCTGGACTTAATATCCTATATTACTTGTCGACCACGTATACTTGAGTGTGCATTAGGGAGCAACACTCTCCTTATAATAGAACGAAGTTGTATATCAAGATGTCTCAAACAAATCATGTCGTTAAGGCTAAAATGTGAATAGAAAGATCAAACAGTTTCTAAAAGGAAAAAAATGCCATTCTCTAATTCTACTTGAGATAACTTTAAAAAAAAAATGTGTCACAGAAACCGATGGAGTAACACAACTTTTTTTGTTATTCTAAAGGAGAATGTATTATCTTAATATAAATCTATAGTATGCTAAAGTATACTCCTATCGTTCCAATTTATGTGAACATGTTTGACTGGACACGGAGTTTAGAAAAAATAAAGACTTTTGAAATGTGTGGTCCTAAACAAGTCCAAAAGGGGCCCAGAGTATTTGTATGGTTATAAAAGCTTCTCATTAAGGGTATAATTGTAAGTTTAAGCTAATTGTTACCAAATTTAGAAAGAGATCATTCTTTTTTGAACGGACCAAAAAAGAAATAAGTTCACGAAAAGTGGAACATTACAGAGGTAGGGAGTATAATTTATGGGGAAAAATTTATTTTATTTTAATACTGTAACGCGTCATAGTTTAAAAAAATTAAAAAGCGAAGGCATGCTTTTGACCCAAAAAGAATTGTTATAAAAAATAACAAAAGAATCTCCTCTATAAAGGAAATATTAGCTCACGAAGCAAAGGTATCCTATATCTGCTTGCACATGAAGCTAAGCAGTCTTTTTCTTGTCCAATTCTTCTTTTTCTGTTCTCTTAGCTTTCATCTTTCTTGACTTTAAGTGATCACTCAAGAACCAGACCCCTCTTTCCTGCTCAGCCCTCTCCCCCTCCCCCGGAAAACACAACCCCAAAAGAAAAGATAGCAATTACACTAATCAATTAGTTGCTACTACTGCACCTTATAGAACTTCACAAAAACAAGTCTCTTTCTTGAACTTCCATGCACATGTACTATAGCAAAGCTTCACAAGAACAATACAGAGTGAATCAAGCTAGCTGATCAAACCTTCTTTTTTTTTTTTAAATAAAAAAAAAAGAGAAAATGGGCACGGTGAGAAAGCTTATAGTAGAAGTAATTGACGCACGAAACCTCCTTCCCAAGGACGGCCATGGCACTTCAAGTCCTTATGTAGTTGCGGATTTCTATGGCCAGCGAAGGAAGACGAGAACTGTGATCCGTGATCTGAACCCCATATGGAATGAAATGCTGGAATTCAACGTCGGAAAACCCTCCGATGTTTTCGGTGACATGCTGGAACTTGACGTGTTTCATGACAAGTTCATTGGCCCTACAACGAGGAATAACTTCCTCGGAAGGGTGAAGTTGAGCGCCAGGCAGTTTGTGAAGAAAGGTGAAGAAGCTTTGATTTATTACCCTTTGGAGAAGAAATATTGGTTCAGTTGGATTTCCGGTGAAATCGGTTTGAAAATTTATTTCTCCGAAGAAGTTGTTCCTCCGCCAGCTCCACCACCACCGCCACAAGAAGAAATCAAAGCTGACGCCGAGCCAGCACCACCGGCTGAGTCTACTCCGCCGCCATCAGAAGCTGCGCCACCTGCTGAAGCACCGGCGCCCGCACCCGAAGGTGAGAAGCCAAATATAGAGGAGCCACCAGTGAAGCCACCAGCGCCACCGGCTGAAGAAGAGGCGCCACCACAGGAAAATTCTGCTACTCCAGAATTTGAGTTTGATAAAGAAGGGAGTGGTGTTCTAATGGATCCACCAGCGGAGCTTCCAGTACAATCGGATGATTTTGAACACATGAAAAGATCTGTATCATTAGGATCTGTACCTCAAGTTAAACTAACTAACATTACTGGTCCTAGGCCAATTAGTCGTGCTTCATCAGTTAGCAGCTTCGTTTCTGAAGCTGCATCGGATAGATCAGCTCCAATCGAACGGTCCACATTTGATCTTGTAGAAAAGATGCATTATCTCTTCGTTCGAGTTGTTAAAGCTCGATCGCTTCCGACCGTCGGCAGCCCCGTCGTAAAAATTGCTGTTTCCGGCAGCCACGTTGTATCGAAGCCAGCCCGGAAAACGGTTTTGTTTGAGTGGGACCAAACTTTTGCTTTCGGCCGAGACGCACCTGATTCCTCATCCCTCTTGGAAGTCTCAGTGTGGGACCCATTGAGTGCCAAGTCATTCGACCCCACGTCCGACGTGGCAGGGCATGTCTTCTTAGGTGGCATTTGCTTTGATGTGAGTGAGATCCCTTTACGAGACCCACCTGATAGTCCTTTGGCTCCTCAATGGTATAGGCTTGAAGGAGGTGGGGCCCATAGAGGTGATCTAATGCTTGCCACGTGGGTTGGGACTCAAGCTGACGAATCATTCCCTGAAGCATGGAAGACTGACACAGCGGGTAATCCTAGTTCTAAATCAAAGGTATATCAATCTCCTAAATTATGGTACTTGAGATCATCAGTCATAGAGGCACAAGATATTTCTCAATTGACACATTCAAAAGAGTCATCATATCAGATTAAGGCCCAATTAGGATTCCAAGTTCAAAAGACGAAACTCATCACTACAACTACTGGGTCTCCATCTTGGAATGAAGACTTAGTATTTGTAGCAGCTGAGCCATTTACTGAACATTACTTGCTAATTTTCCTAATAGAAACCAGGCATCCGAAAGAGCAAACCGTTCTCGCAGTTTCTAGCATACCACTCACCACAATTGAGCGCCGAGTCGATGACCGTAAGGTGGCGTCGAGATGGTTTACATTTGAAGATCCTAATGAAGAGAAGAGAGTTTACAAAGGCAGAGTACACTTACGCCTTTGTTTCGACGGTGGATATCATGTGATGGACGAAGCAGCTCATGTTTGTAGCGATTATCGTCCAACTGCAAGGCAACTCTGGAAACAACCAATTGGGACTGTTGAATTGGGAATTATTGGATGCAAGAATTTGTTGCCCATGAAAACAATCGAAGGAAAAGGATCTACGGATGCCTATGCAGTAGCTAAGTATGGGAGCAAGTGGGTACGTACTCGTACTATATCTGATAGTTTAGAACCTAGGTGGAATGAGCAGTACACTTGGAGAGTTTATGATCCATCCACTGTGTTGACAATTGGAGTGTTTGATTGTTGGGAAGTATTCGAATCAGATGGCTGCAAAGAGTCCATGAGGCCAGATTTTCGGATTGGTAAGGTGCGTGTACGTATTTCTACACTGACGACAGGTAAAGTGTATAAGAATACTTTCCCGTTACTTTTGTTGTCACCAGCTGGTTTGAAGAAAATGGGGGAGATTGAATTAGCAGTGAGATTCATACGTGCTACACCAACACTTGATTTCTTACATGTCTATTCACAACCTTTGTTGCCCATGATGCATCATGTGAAGCCTCTTGGCATGGTTCAACAAGAGAGTTTAAGGACTGCAGCTGTTAAAATAGTAGCAAGTCACTTGACACGGTCCGAGCCGCCTCTTAGGCGTGAGGTTGTGACTTACATGCTTGATGCGGATTCACATTCATTTAGCATGCGTAAAGTTCGTGCTAATTGGTTTAGAATCATCAATGTGATCGCTGGAGTAATTGACATTGTCAAATGGATAGATGACACTCGTGGTTGGAAAAATCCAACTGCTACTTTACTTGTGCATGCACTTTTGGTAATGCTTGTGTGGTTCCCTGACTTGATCATCCCCACATTCGCATTCTATGTATTTGTGATCGGTGCATGGAATTACAGATTCAGATCACGGGACACTTTACCCCACTTTGATCCAAAGATCTCATTGGCAGAATCACTTGATCGCGATGAGCTTGACGAGGAGTTTGATGTATTGCCTTGTACTAGACCAAATGAATTGGTACGAGCCAGATATGATAAATTACGCATGCTTGGTGCACGGGTTCAGACAATCTTGGGCGACTTTGCAACGCAAGGGGAGCGAGTGCAAGCATTGGTAACTTGGCGTGACCCTCGAGCCACAGGGATATTTATTGGGCTGTGCTTTGTGGTGGCATTCATTTTGTACTTGGTACCATCTAAAATGGTGGCTATGGCCTTCGGTTTCTACTATCTTCGCCATCCCATCTTCAGGGATAGAATGCCTTCACCAGCATTGAATTTCTTTAGAAGGCTGCCTTCACTTTCGGACCGAATGCTCTAGTTCAATTTATTAGTTTAGCATGTATGGAAGGACAATGCACTAAATTTGCTGGAGTTACAGGGGCCACAATTGATATATTACTTCTGATTTGTGTTGCATATGGTATTGAGTACAATTTTCTTTTCGATCTTCTTTGTTACTATATGTATATCAACATAATTAAATAATATGAAGGTTGTATATCTATGTTCTTAAGGCGCGGGTGGTTTTTGTATGTTAAACCTAATTAACCACGAGAGTATTTCATATGTGTTAGAGTATTTCATATGTGTTATTTTCACTTGGTATTCATTAATGTGCTTTCCTTAGGTTCAGTTTTGGAATCAGGCATCTCTTTACAGAATCCACATTTATGTGATGGTTGTTCAATATTAACATTGGTAGGGATTCATCTATGTAAAATTGGTTTATATTAAATGATCGAATGATTGCGTGAGTAAGAACCAAAACCGGGGACAACAACTGCAGGTGACATCGGATAAGTCCTGAAGGGAGCATAACCGGCGAAAGCGGGTCGAATGTTTGTCACCATATGGTATTTAATAAAGAATATTTCCTAGTATTAAATAGGCAGCTGTTGCAGAGAATTTTGGCATTCATGGCCTGCCGTTACATGTTCATGAATGGCCCCCTTGTCATTTAAGAGGGGCTTGATCGTAGGATCATATTTCCTAGGTATAGCTATAAATAGTGGCTTCAACAACCATTGTAGGACACGAAATCTCTTGCAAAACTTATGCTTCATTCTATTCTCAAAATAAATAATACAACTTTTTTTTGGTGTAAAGAAAAATATTATTAATCTCTCAACCAACCAATTATACACTTTTCTATTAAACTGTACAGAATAGAAGTAAAATCCTTCTAGCCGCAAAATTCCCCTATCTATCATCCCTATCTGTATTTGCTAAAACAATTCCTCTATCCATTTTCTTCTATCTCTCCCCTCTTTCCTAATACTTTGCATATTCAATCCAACTTTACATTCTTGTTGAATCTGTTTTCAAATCACCATTGGATGTGATACTTTGTTGTTCCATATTGCATCATTTCTGACCTGCCATATCTTGTACACCAACACTGTCATGACTGCTATAATGAGTTTTCTGCACATTTTACCTCTAACATTTCTCGTTAGTATTCTCCACAAACCATCAATATCTGGTTCCTTTGTCCCTTATCCTAGCCATTCCATCAGAATTCTCAAGCACTCCTTTGAAAATTGACATTCGAAGAACAAGTGTTGAATTGTTTCTTTACTTCCACCACATATTTCACTCCTTGTTTCTGTACATACTCCAATTTTTTCCAATCTTTCTCTTGTCAGCAGTCTTTTATGAACTACTAACTAACTGATAAAACTGTGTTTTGGAACATTAACAAAGTTCCAAATCCATCTAGCTCAGGGCCACTCATTCAGCTCCCCTTTCCTCCATTGGTATCCTTTTTGTATAGAATACCTTTCACCTACTTGTTGCCGGTCATTCCCCCTATATCCTCCCTTGAATTTTCCATTACATTGCATATTCTCTTCCAATACCAACTACAATCAGTTGGTGGCACATACTGTTTCCAGTTAATCCCTTTTATGTATATGTGATCCACCCATTTCACCCATAAGTTGTCAGCCTTTTGAGCTATGTTCCACACATACTTTGCCATTTTTTTTCTCATTCCATACTATGCAATCCATTACTCCTAATCCTCCTTTGTGCTTTGTCCTGCACACTATATCCCACGCAATCAATGGATCTTTGTTGATCTGTCCCACCCATTCCACAAGAAGTTTCTCCATATTGCAGTTAGCTTTTTCAGAACAGATTCTGAAAGGATAAAAATTGATGACCAGTATGTATGGACATGCAGCAAAACTGAATTAATTAACTGCACTCTTCCAGCATATGACAAGTTCCTCGAACTCCAAGCCCTTATTCTAACAGTCACTTATCTATTAGAATTTCACAGTCCAAGGTTGATAACTTCATTGCTGGAACTGGAACCCCCAAGTACCTAAATGGCAATAACCCTTTCTGATATCCAGTAGCCTCGCATAAGTCTTCCAATTATTGTTTTGGCATGTTAGCACTGAAAATATTGGATTTTCCTGCATTAGTGGTCAAACCTGATGCATTTGCAAAAGACTGCAAACCTCTTAACATCAGCATATACAGATTGATAATTGCCTTTACAAATATCAATATGTTATCCACAAAGCATAAGTGATTCAGTTCTTGCCCCCTGCAGTTCGTGTCATATCAACAACTTTGTTCAAGATTCTGGTCAGGTACTCCATACATAATTACAAATAGCAAGGGTGAAATGGGGTCACCCTATCTTAAACCTCTTTTTCCTGCTATACTCCCATGTAGTCCTCCATTTATAGCATACTATATTGGGTAGTAGTTATATATGTCATAATCCATTTTATGAATCTCTGAGGGAAATTCATTGCATGAAGCATTTTTTCCACAAACGACCATTCTACACTATCATATGCTTTTTTCAGATCAATCTTGATTAAGCAGCTCTGAGTAGTGTTCTTCCTTTTGTACAATCTTACCTGATCTTGACATATCAGAACATTTTGAACTATTGTTCTTCCTGGAATGAATGCACTTTGATTTTCATAGATTAGTGTAGGCAGTATCACTATGAGTCTGTTACATAACATCTTAGATATCACCTTATATATTGTATTACACCCTGCAAAAGGCCTGTAGTCACCCACACTTGTAGCATGAAAACCTTTTGGAATGATGGTTATCATTGTATGATTCAGTACTTTTAGCATCTCCCCTGTTCTAAAGAATTCCATAATCTACTACATCTTTGCCTACCACCTCCCAACTATCTTTAAAAACTTGCTTCCATAGCCATCTGGACCTGGTCATTTATCTCCATTGATTGCCCACAATGATGTTTTAACCTCTTTTGCTGTAAACTTTTCCTCTAACATGCTCCTTTGTATTTCTATAACTACTGGCCCTTGCTGAATTAGTCTGCTATTGACATCCTCCCTTTCCTTATTGGTAGTGCCCAACAAAGTAGTGTAGAAATCAATCAAGGACTTTGCAATTTCATCCACCTCAGTTCTATTGACTCCATGTGCACCTGTTATAGAGTAGATTCTGTTCATACTCCTTCAAGCCTTCATCATACTCTGAAAAAATTTGGTGTTTAGGTCCCCTTTTTCCAGCCACTGCACCTTACTGTTCTGTCTCAAATACTGCTGTTTTGCCTCGTTCAGCCTCTTAGTCTTCCTGATTAGCCTTGCTTCTTCCTCTTGTATTTCCTGATAACGAGGTGCTTGCTGCAACCTTTGTTGACATTGCAGCAGTTCTTCTTGTGCTTGATCTGCTTTCTTCTCTATTTGACTGAACTTCTCTTTGTTTAGCTGTCTTAATTTCCCCTTCTGATTGTTTAACTGTTCCACTAGCTCATACATTTTGGTCCTATTTTTGTTTGTCTTCCAGCCTTGCTTTACTGTCTCTTTGTAGTTTGGTGACATGCTCCACAAGTTAAAGTATCTGAACATATGCTGCTTTTTTTATCTCCTGTCCATCTGTTTATTGATCAAAGGTCCCTTCATTCCTATAGTATACCTCTGAATCTGGTAATGCTAATATCCACTCATTATTGACCAGCACTTTTTCAATCCTGCTATATACTCTGTCACCACCTCCCTGCTTGTTATTCCATGTAAAGAATCACCTTGAAGACTTTGTATCCTGTAATGTACGTTCTGCCACACATTGCTTGAAGTCTCTTATTTCTGCCATTGTAACTGGACTCCCAATCCTTTCTTCTTTATGTAGGACACAATTGAAATCCTCCATGACTCAAGGTTCATCCGTATGCTCATGTATCTCCGTGATATCCTCCCATAATTTCCTTCTTAATGCAGCATCATTGAAACCATAGACCATTGTTACTGAAAACTTCCTTCTAGTTCCTCTATGATGTACTCCACAATGAATTAATTGTTCTGTGACTTTGTATATGCTTATACCAAATACCAAAGGCTTCCAGAAGATCCATATTCTTCCTCCTTTGTGTTAACTTAAATTCGTACTATAGGACCATCCATTACATAGGTTAAGTGCAGCTTTATGAGCTTTAGCTCTCTTAACCTTAGTTTCCAAGAGGCAAAGTAATCCAACCTGGGAATTATGCATAAATAGATAGATTTCCTTCTGTTTATCTGAATTATTTAGCCCCCTGGCATTCCAGAAACCAATTCTATCCATGCTTTGGTGAGCTTCCCCCACCCTTGTCAACTACAGCTCCCTTTTTTCCTACATTACCATTCGCTATTGTTTCCATCTGCTGCCCTGTCTGACTAGTACTAGCCTCTTCTTCAGTTTGTTGTTTTCCTAGTGTAACAAATGCATTACATGTCTTCAATGGTACTTCTTGCACCACCAATGCTTTTCTCACATATTTTCCAACTCTATACCCATGATTTTGAGCTGGATTCTTTCCCACTTCTGGCTGCTTATTATTCCCCTGATTTTCCTGTTGTTGCTGCTCTACTCCCATTTGTTTTGCTTGATCCTTCTGAATCTCTTTCCCTTCTTTCTGTTGAACTGTCTCCTTCTAGACTGTCAGTTCTTGTTGTTTCTCATTCTTCTCTCTTTCCTCCTGAACAAATTTCCTACACTCATAAATGTCATGTCCATAATTTTTGTATTTCTCACACAGAACAGGTTTCCATTCGTAATGGATTGCCTGCTCTATTATTTTTCCTGCCTCATTCTCAAATCTAATGCTTGACGAGTATTGTTGGTTCAATTTCACTTCAACTAACACTCTTGCATATGTTAGTCTTTCCTTTTTGGTAGTAGCAGCATCAGCCTTTAGAGGCTTTCCAATCAACCCAGCTATTTTTGTAAGAGCCACTTGTCCCCAATATTTGATATCTAGCCTACCAATCTCACCCAAATAGGAATGTTCTCCATTTGCTCCTTTGAGATCTCCATATCTGGCTTCCATGGCTTCACAATTACTGGTTTTCTATCAAACATTTGAACACCTTCTTCCACTGCTTTGCTTCTACTTTCAACACTATGAAACCTCATCAGGAATATCCCTCTGTTTAATTATGCTACCTTGTCAATCCCCAGAGCTCCCTAAATTCTCCTAATATATCCATCAATTACTACTTGAGGTGGATTAGACCCTAAAATATAGCATAC